GATGGGCAATGCTGCTGCTATTGCTGCTGCCTTCGGAAATGGTTTGCCACCTGGGATAACTGGTACAAATGACAGGTGCACAGTTCTTGTTTCTAATCTGAATTCTGATGTAAGTTTCTGTTTATTGTTCTTATTCTCTTACATTCAATTGTTTTATATTTCCAGCCATCATCCTAGTATTACCTTCTCTTTTGCAGAGAATAGATGAAGACAAGCTTTTTAATCTGTTCTCATTATATGGAAACATTGTTAGAATCAAACTTCTCCGAAATAAACCAGATCATGCTTTAGTTCAGATGGGTGATGGCTTTCAAGCTGAATTGGCTGTGCATTTTTTGAGGGTCAGTATATTTCTTTCTAAATTTTTATGTTTTCTGGTTAGATTGCTACATATATGCCTTTGGTTTTACTGTTGAATGAGCTGGTCCTTTATTACCAAAATATCTGCTCATATAAGCGTGGGGATACGAATGGAAAGGGTTTGAGGAATCCACTATGATAAGGCCCAGACCTGTCAGTTGCTTTAGTTTCAGGAAATCTAACTATTTATATATTGCTCTCTTGATGATTATGGCTCTGGAATATGCATGAATTTTCATAATTGTTCCTGATATGTGAACTTTCTGCTTTAAATGTTAGGATATTTGACTATTGATATTGTTCTCTTGATGACTGTCACTGAAACTTGCATGAGTTTCCAATATAGGGGGCCATGCTGTTTGGGAAGCGCTTGGAGGTCAATTTTTCAAAGCATCCAAACATTACAACTGGAGCTGACACCCACGAGTATTCAAACTCAAATCTCAACCGATTCAATCGAAATGCTGCTAAAAATTACCGGTACTGTTGTTCACCAACAAAAATGATCCACATTTCCACCCTTCCTCAGGATGCAACTGAAGAGGAAATAGTAACTCACTTGAATGAGCATGGCACAATCGTTAGTACGAAACTATTTGAGATGAATGGAAAGAAGCAAGCTCTTATCCTTTTTGAAAATGAGGAGCAGGCTACAGAATCCCTTGTGTGCAAGCATGCTACATCCCTTGGTGGTGCAACCATTCGGATTTCCTTCTCTCAGCTACAAACCATACGAGGGGCACATTCTACTGTATAACAAGGAGTGTAGTTGTAGACAGTATATTTCCTTTTCCGTGAACTTACTTTTGACTATATCTTGTAATTTTTTTTAAAAAAATAATTTGTTTCTTATCCTCTCATGCATGTACCATTTAGAGAGCAAAGGTTCTCTGTTTTAGAGGCAGATCTTTAATGTAGCCTTTGAGACAGTCTTTGCCATTCGTTTCTGTCAAGTCTATTTGTTCAACCCAGGAAAACCTCACTCCGTTTCTTTTGTCATCCTCTTGTGTATATGAACGGCTCTGTTAATGTCAATGTTATGGAGATACAGATAAAGATAAGATATAAAATAGAAATAGAAGTTAGATAGGATTTTAAAATAAGAGTTTTAACTCATATTATGATTAGTTGGATTAGATTAAATTGAATTTAATATTTTCGTAAAGTTATAGCTTATTAGAAGTTTTTTTAATTTTAGATTTGTTGATATATAAATAGAGGGCTTAGTCATTGTAATATTCGAGAGAATTAACCAAATGGTCATTGAACTTTACAACAGGTTTTCACGAGGTCACTAAACTATAAAAATACCCAACTAATCACTGAACTTTTCCATTCGTAGTACCATTCATCACTCGGTCGTTAAAAAATTGAAAAATGCTATTCATCCCCAATGGGGATGCATCCCCAATCTATGTGGATATAAATCATTGGTTAAATTAAATGATTTATTTAATTTTACCTATCATTTAATGTCACATTAATTATACATAGACTGGGGATGCATCCCCAGTGGAGATGAATAGCATTTCTCTAAAAAATTGGAAGGAGTGCTTACGTGTACGTTGACGTGGCGCGACAACTGAATGGGTGGTTGCCAAATCAACAAAGTGCTACAATTTGGACACACGTTTTCCTCTAAATAAATTGGTATCACGATTTCATTTAACAAAATTAAAACAAAAAACCCAAGCCAATTTCAACAAAATCCCACTCCCATCCCCGACAGACGAACCATAATCCCCAATTGTGGACAACCGGTAGTCCATCACCGGAAGCCCAAAACCTTATCCCACACCCACACCCCTCCCCAAAAACCCGCACTAAAATCAGCCAACCTTCAACAGGGAAAACCCAGTTTCACCGTAATCTCACCACCAAGAACCTTAAATCCTAGCCCTCCAGCCACCCAATCTCTCCAGCAACAATCCAGCTAATCCAGGAAGTTTGGTTCGCGACACGGGCTTCTTGAAACGACCATGGCTGACATTGAGCAAGATTTAACAGGTAAGATATAGTCCCTAATTTTTGATGCTGTCAACTGCGAGTCGTGTCTTCGAGGAAAGTTTGGTTCGCAAGTATGGCATATTCCTCGGATAGCAACATTCGAATAGGCGAGGTGGTGTGTTATTGCGGAGAGCTCTCAGTTTTGAAGACGTCGTGGACCGACTATAATTCGGGAAGACGCTTTTGGGGATGCATCAATTACGGCACCTCACGTGGTTGCGATTATTTCGATTGTTGTGATGGAGCTGTGGCTGCAAGACAGAAATGTGTAATACTGGGATTGCTGTGTCTGGAGGTTCGGTCCCTAAAAATGCAGCATAATGAAATTGAAGAAAGGTCGAGAGCTGGCGGAGTTATGTGAACTTCGAACCGAGGTTGAGCGTCTGCGTCAGGATAAGAAGTTGTACATCATTTGTTTCTATATGCTTATGGCACTGGTTGTAACATATTTTATTTTGTAGTTGGTTTTTCTTCTCATCGATGTGGGGAAATGCAGTGGCGTGAAGTGTGGATGGTGTCGCTAGTTTAGTGTGGATAGATTGGATCAATGTGTAATAGGAATGTAGTAATGTTTAGTATCGTTATGTTCGGTAATGGAACTTGTTTTTTGCTTATCCTATGTGCATTCCTATCAATTGTTAATTGTGTTCTTCCTGATGTGTTTATGTTTTAAATTGAATTGTTTCAATTTTGATGGTGAAATGTTGTTGAAATCACCATGTAAGACCAACAAATATTTCCAACAATGGCGCAGTAGTAAACAAGCATTTACACCTGACATCCATCACTAGCAACACATTCATTTCCAAACAACAATGCCATAAGCAACCAATAGTATTTCATTACACCAAAATAGCATATTGATTACATTCTTTGTACAGCCAATGGGATCACTAGACGAAGTTCCTGCCTGAACTTCAAAAATCAGCATTTCACAAAACGAATGCTAAATGTCTGTACCAACCACATTTACAAAAACTTCATTCAAACCCCTCATTGAACTTCCTAAACTAAATAAATGTACAAAAGAACATTGCAGACCCCATTGAATCCCATAAATGGCTGCATTCAAACCCCTCAAAAAACCCCTTCAAAATCAGAATGTCTCAACCATCTCCATGTCAACTTGATATAACGCAACCATATACACTCTTAAATAAAAAATCTGTAATTATTAGTACCTCAACTCACCTCCGCTTGTGTCAGTTTTTGTCGATGTCGTCTCACGGTTATGGTACCGTTTGTTATGCCCCTTCTCCCCGCACGACGAACACGTCATAAACACTCTCCCCTTCTTGCTTGTACGCACCTCTGACCGTGCTTGAGAAGATGCAATTTCTTCAGATCCCCTTCGTCTTTTCTTTTTCTTTCTTCCCTTACTTGCTTCATACCACGGTGGTGGACACACAATAAATCCTCCAGTCTCAGGCCACAAATCTTGCCCAATGATGGGATGGATAACATTTTCGTATGTCGTCATATATGTTCAACAAAAAACCACTCTGACACGTAGCCTTGTATGTCATGACCTTTATCCAAAATGCAAGCGATCGCATGTGGACAAGGAATCCCAGAAATATGTCATCTTCTACACGTGCAAGTCCGATTCTCCATATCAACTACAAATTCCCCATACGGACACTCCAATTGATATTGATGTACCCATCCCATCGCAATATACATTCACGGGCTGCATCTCTATACTTCTCTATTTTTTTTGTATCTTGGGGCATATGGGCTTAATATAGTTTTTAAGCTTCTCCCGCTTCACCTGGATTCAGTGCATCAATTTGTTTTGAATCCCAGTCAACATTGTTAGTATGTATTTGTCCCTTTCTTCCAAAATGAAGTTGCTGAAGCACTCACATAGGTTATTAAAAAGCATTTCACACTTCGATTGTTCCAAGAAGTGAGATCTACTCCACTTGTTTGGTGATTTTTTCATCAACCATCCATGTGCCTCCTCATTAATGCTTTCAATCTTCGCCATCAAATACTTGAATGATCCTAAGTGGCTTGACTTCGCTGCACCCCACAATTACAAATAATCTTTCAACTGCTTATCCTTGAAGCCTGCACTAAAGAAATTCTGGTACATATACCTAACACAGAACCTGTGTTCCGCTTCCGGAAATAAGTCCACCACAACATTAAGTAGTCCTTTCTGTCTATCACTCTTGAACGTAACAGATATCCAATTCTCCATTGCTAGATCCTCAGACAACATCAAAAACCATCGCCAAGTACTAGTATTCTCTTTCTCAATGATTGCATACGCAATTGGATATATACAATCATTGGCATCTACTCCAACTGCTACTAAAAGTTGCCCACCATATTTTCCTTTCAGAAAACATCCATCTAGTGCTTGTTTGGTAGGAATTTTTGGGGGAAGAATTGATTTTTGAATAGTGATATGATGGGAAATGTGTAGTTGAAAAAGAAGAAAAAATTATTGATGTGATGAAAAATATTATTTTATTGAAGAATGTGTGGTTGAAAATGAGAATTGATTTGAGAATCAATTCTCAAATAAAAAACAAACACCCCCCTGGACTAACAAAACGCCTACCCCTGAAGAAAACCCCGCTTACATGCCTCTGTGCAAATATAAATACCTGAACACAATTTCCTTAAGCGAAATGACGACAGTAGTTCCAGGATTTGTTACTCCTCAATTCCTCAACATAACAACCTAGCAATGCAAATTGTCTAGCATCATTCCCTTCTACTAGAACTTTGGCATATTTTCTAGCATTCCATGCAACTGTCTTCATAATATGAACTCCTAAATCCTTTCTCCCTCTACCTCTAATGTGTTTCGTCTTCCATTCAGGATCAGCTCTAAAATCCTCTAAGTAATAATCAGCAAGCCATTTATACGTTACATACTTTTTCATATGTACCTTCAAGCAAGTATGGTTACGGTCATACATTTTTATTTGGACAGTGTCTTGACCTTGTAGCTTAGAAGACCACAACTTCCATTGACAACCATCCTTACAAACACAATGGAATCTATCCTTCTCATTTCGCTTGAAAATTGGTTCAACCCTATTGAAGACCGCATGATTTCTAACAGCAGATTTCGATTCCTCAAAAGACCCAAACAATAAAACCTATCTCCAGTTCGGGATTTTTTTTTTTCAGTTGCTCCCAAAAATTCAGGGAAATTGAGTTTACCAATATTTTCATCGGAGTCTGAACCACTACCAATTTTCAGCTCTTCAGAAGATGCATTTGATGAGCTATCATATTCTGGGGCTACCTTATTAGCCAGTATGTTATGCATACCAATTTCAATCCTTTCAGTCACGTTACAATCAAACAACATATCATCTTCATCATACACATCGTGGTCAGAGTCACTGAAATCTGGATCGTCGTCTACATCATTCACTGCAAATCTAAGAGCAACAAGAATTAGGGTGACTATAAAGATAGCAGCAAGAATTAGGGACAGAGAGCAACAAAAATGTAAGAGCAACAAAAATTGAGTGACCGATATCTGTTTGTACAAATTGCAACAAAAAAAGAACTAATTTCAGCCATGGGGACGATATCTTACCTGTTTTGAATCTTGCTCAATGTCAGCCATGGTCGTTTCAAGAAGCCCGTTTCGCGAACCAAACTTCCCTCAAAGACATGACTGGCAGGTGACAGCAGCAAGAAATAGGGTATGAGGACTTCCGGTGATGGACTACCAGTCGTCCACAATTGAGGATTAGGGTTCGTCTGTCGGGAATGGGGGTTGGGATTTTGGTGAAATTAGTTTGGGTTTTTTGTTTTAATTTTGTTAAATGAAATCGTGATACCAATTTATTCAGAGGAAAACTTTGGACCATGCTACTTGTACATTTTTTTTTACATTAAGTTTGACATTGTGACACGTGTCGTATCATGATTAGCCAATTTTTAAACATTACACACTTTCCCGCCAATAACATTTTGAATTTTTAAAGGATGTCAAACTTCATGTCATGCAAGGAATGTACAAATAGTTTAATCCGAAAACTTTTGTCCAATTTATAGCACTTTGCTGATTTGGCAACCACCCATTCAGTTGTCACAACGTACACATAAGCATTCTGCCCAATTTTTTAACGGGCATGAACTCAGTGATGCATTGTACTACGAATGGAAAAGTTTAGTGATGAGTTGGGTGATTTTTATAGTTAAGTGATCTCGTGGAAACCTATTGTAAAGTTCAGTGACCATTTGGATAAATCTCCCGTAATATTCAATTCCAGAATATGTGAATGAAGTGATATACTCTTGCCTTAGTTCTTCTCTTATTTGATCCCATTTCTTTCTTGTTCATATTCTTGTTCTTATCAAATTAGTACGCTCATGCATCATTTTGGTATAAGAGCAATTCATACTGCTTCGACATACCTTTTCAAATTCTGAAATCCACAAATCTTAACCATTAATCGTTTCCATCCAATCTATACACACCCTACCACCCATCCAAATCCTATAACCACCATCAAACACAGTATTTGAACATAACAAAACACAAAAGGGGCATCTCTACTGCAATCAAGGACACAAATTTATTTATTTATTTATTCATTCATTTTCAGTTAGTTCATCTTTTTACTTGCTGTTTTTTTTTACATTGTAAAAAAAAATTATTTCAGTAGCTATTTGTAAATGTTGCTGCCGTTCAAAAATACTCCAAACCACAAAGCCATAACAATAACCCGTATCTCAAAACCCACTAACCAAATCACAAGCTCATACCCGCAAATAAAAGGGAAAAAAGATTCACATATGCCTGATTAATATATAGAATTTCATTTTATACTATTAAATCCATATAATAACCAAAAATACTACAAAAGCTCATTAGAATCCCAAAAGTAATGCATAATAAACTTTTCTTTTGTATATGTAACTGAAAATTTTCAAAGACAGAAAACGTATGGCATTAAATTCAAATGCAGAACATGTAGAGATTCAATTTCAAAATTAAATTGCTTTACTATAATAATAATAATAATAATAATAGATGAATTGAGAATACTCTCCATTGCGACCGTGGAGGATTGATTTCAGTGAGATAATCATCGTGTGACGTCTGACGAGTGATTTAGCTAAATCGTGTCTCGTAATTTTTTTACAAAATGATTACAGGTAATGTTCACGTCTAATTTTAACCAAGATTACTGCAACTTTGGATATTCCATATTTTCTCTATTTTTGAAGTCCGGTACTTTGGGTCTTTTTGGAAATTAATGTGATTCTTGACCAGTAGCAATGGAATGATCAGGTGTTGTTTACTTTAATTGTTGCAATTTAACATATGTATACTTGTCTTGCTGCTTGAAATATAATTGATGTATGCATATCACCAGCTGACTCACGCTGTTTCTAAAGCACTGAAAAATTGTTGGCTTCGTACATATGTTAATGTGATATATTTGTTTACTTTTGATAAGAATATAGTTGTTATATTGTTTGATTTTTTCGCTTTCCCCCCTTATGACATCATTAACCTTGTGTTATATATGTGACTATGTTTTGAATAATTTGTAACTAGTGTGAATAAGATGTTGAGCTATGTGGAATGTGTTGATAATGGTGATATGAAAACATAAATTGTTCACTAAAAACCTGTTTGATGTCTCCGATTAATTGATGTATATGATAACGTAATAGTAGTAACAAACCGGGGTGGGTTCCAGGATACCTTTCGATGCATCATATATTGATTTTTTCGCTGTAGCTATTTATCTCGTCAATTCAAATGGTGATATAATTTCTTTTTTTGACCTTATGCAGTAATTGACTCCGTGAATGTCTTCATAACTTGCAACTCAAAGACTTTTAGGTTGCTTGTAACTAGTGGTTGGAAGTATGTAGATCTAGTTGAGATGATCTTCATCAAATAACCGCAACTATAACGACTCAGCCTCTGTGCACAAATCGTTAACTTATGTACTATCCATTCTAGGAGAGTCTAGCCCATCTTATTTCTTACGAATTTTTATCGTGTTCCCAAGATTTTAACATATGACCTCCCCAAGAGAGACTTAATTCAACTTAATCTCTCATAAGGATAGGTTATGCGTTCGAATCCCGAGGATAAATTCGTGAGTAAAATGGGTTAAGACAGTACGTAAGTTAACGACTTGACTATAGAGACTGAGTTATTACAAAAAATACACTTGTGACACTCGAGTCCTAAAACCTGGGGGCCATAATAACGTATCAAAATATAACTATAAATAACCAAGATAAAACTTAATAATATATTTAATTAAAACTCATTCCATGAATTAACATTAATTTTGTGTTTGATTGCACTCATGGAAGGAAAATAAGTTTTAAGCATTTGAATTGCTTAGAATTTATTTAGATGAAAATTATGATATTCCAGAATAACTAACCAATAGGGAGTGAATTGATTTTTAAAACTATTTCGAAAAATTAATTCAAATCCAAGCAATTTAGGAATGAATAAATCAATCACACAAAAGGCACAAATACGAAAGCAATAAGTAAAAGTGAATAGAAAGTGCAAATGATGTAATTATGGATGTTCAATTCAAAACAATGATCTACGTTCTCTATTAATCAAACTCTCCATCACGAGAAATGTCATATCACTATATTGATTGACTTATGATGCAATCCAAATTCTTACAACGCTTTCAATGACTTATATTAAATAAGGAACATAGATCCTTATACGATATTGAGCTTACGGGACCTTAATACAACCCACAAGTTTGAAGAATATTTTAATAATTTGAAAACCTTTCTTAATAAATGATACAAATGGATTTAATTCTAAGAGAGACTAAAACTTTAATGAATTGCAATAAACGAAGCTCAAATGTTAGAAGAGAAAACTTTGATGTAAAATATAGTTTTCAAAAGTTGATTCAATTAGTCTATAATTTTCAAAGTAAATGTTTGATAAATTAAATCAGATATAAGTTGAAAGAGTTTTGCTCAATAATTTATCACTTTAATGATCTTAAAGGATGATTTGAAGAATGAAGTGTGGATATTTATAGAGTTCAAAAAGCAAAACTTCTTGAAAGTTCGAAAGAGTGCCTGCTGACTGACTCATGTCCAAAAGACCAATATATCCGTTGTACAACAAAAAAATTTAGAACTGTCAAAATTTGGACCATGGGACCTTTTCGGTGGACCACTAGTTAGGGAGATTTTTACGTTTTGACCCCATTTGACTCGATTCGAATGTTTTGAAAGGCATGGACTTTTGGAAAGTGTTTTTAATCAACTTTTCAAGATAAAAAATATTTTTCAAATTCAAATACCATTTTAAAATCATTTTAATATTTGATCAAAGTAACTTTTAATGCACAAAAAGGTTTTTGAGCTTAAAACATTCATTACTAAATATTAAAGTATTAGTACCTTTAAACCTGATCTAAAAAGGCATAGTTCTTAATATTTCTTTGGCTCTTTAGGCTTTCGTCTTGAAGAATCTTTTCTTGAATGCTTGGAAGGCTTTGAATTGGACTTTGGCCTTCTTTTTGAGTTCGATTTGTGATGATAACTTTTGATCTTTTAATGATCATCGTTCACTTAAATTCAATTTGTTAGCAAACAAGATTAACTTGTTTATTATAATCAAAACTTTAAGATTATAATCAACCATAAGTTAACAAATTATTAATTAAACATATTTGATTTGTTTAATTTTCAAATCAAAAAATGTTACACTTTTCCATTTTTTATTGGTGGCTAGATAAGAGGGGGTGGGTAGATGAGAGAGGGCGAGTGAATTACCTTAAAAATAAAAACCTACCACTCCCTAAAGAAAATATTTTCTTTGTTTTTGAAAAAAATATGGTCACGTGACGAACTTTTGGAAAATATTTTTCATGAAGAAATGTCAATCAAAGATCCTGAAAGCAGAAACTTGGATAGAAAAATGACATTTTTTTTATGAAAAATAAAGCCAATCAAACATACTCTAAGAAAAGTTGCACAATAATTTGTTTTTCAAAAAAGCTAGTTCAAAATTAAAGATTTTAACTAGAAAGGGAAGCTTAAATAAAATTCTCGAATTCATTTCCTGACAATGGCCAAGTCCAAACTCCAAACTCCCTGATGCCTAATTACCTAGAAAGGAAAAAAACTTAAGGCTGAGAAAAATCTCAATAAGTATATACTTGTTCATGAATTACTAATCATATAACTTTTGGAATCGTAAAATTTGCATGAAGGAGACATGAAGACTATACTACACTAAGGTGGTATGAGTTTTACGAGCATAGTGCTACTAGAACTCCGGTCCAAATCTTAAAACATACATATAGATCCATAAACATATTTTTCAAAAGTGAAGCATAATAGAACATTTATACTTATTGTTGTGTGGGAGAAAAATATTAGGTTTCCACTCCAAAGTTTCTTCAACAACGTGAGTGCTAAAGATTCTTGTAGTGTGAAATATGTGTGTGTGTGAAGAATGGGTTGAAGGAGAAAGAGGTGATGTGTAAATTTCTTGGAAACCATGCACCTATTAGTAGGGCTGTCAATGGATCGGATTTTGATCCGAATCCGATCCGAATCTGACGAAATTAATGAGAAATAGATTTAGGGTCTCACTCCGATAACCCGATC